CACACACACACACACACACCGACCCCAGCCTGACCCCTTTTTTTCTTTATTTGTTTTCAATTTTTGCATCTTATTTTTTTTTAAACACCCAATTTCCCGACACAAACCCGAAAAACATTTCTAAAAAAATACAGAACAACTCAGTGACCACGTCCCTCATGATAAAAAATGACCCAAAATAATTCGTGCTTGTCTTTTTATTTATTTTTTAATTATTTGTTTAAATCGAATTTCGTTTTTCATTTTTTTTAAATCTTAAACGAAGTCGGATTCCAAAATAAAAAATATAGGATTGCAGGGTTTTCCAAGCCCTACAACTCTATGTATATTGTTACGTATTTTTAGGGGTATAAAAAAAATAAAAAAAAACAGGCCGCGGCTGCGGCCGAATTGCCCGCGGCCTCGGCCGCGGGTGTCACATAGCTATGGGCACAGCGACGGGTGTCACATAGCTATGGGCACAGCCACGGGTGTCACATAGCTATGGGCGCAGTCTATGTATTTATTGATTTTATTGGTTTATGTTTTTTGAAATTATTTTTATTTTTGCTTTTCGGGAGTTTTGCAATAGATCAGCGCAATCTTACCATCTTCCGTGGTTGTAGCAGACTGTCCATATGAAACACGTGTGTGTGTCTCTGTTTTGGGGGTTCATGGGTCGGGTGACTGTTCGGGTGACTGTTCGGGTGAAGTTCGGGTGAAGTTCGGGTGATAAGACACCTCATTTAGTCAGAGAGAGAGTCCGAGCCCCAGGTGACTGTTCGGGTGACTGCTCGGGTCACAACACACGGCATGTTCAGTGAGCACAAGAGTGTGTACACGGGTGATGCATTGGGTGACTCTTCAGGTGACAACACACCACATCCTGTCATCGAGGGACTCCCTCCATGGGTGAATGTTGGGGTCACTGTTCGGGTGTCACCACACCACATTGTGTCAGAGAGTCCATACACGGGTCACTGTTCGGGGCGACAAGACAGTTGATGTGTCACCTCTGTCGACAAATGCACGGGGCACATGAATGCTCCTTTGAATGAGGGGAAAAAAAAATAAAAAAAATTGGTTCCCTAGTTAAGTAATGATCGGCACACTGTGACAACTATTTTAACCGGTTCCCCACGTTCCTGTTCCTCGAGTTCATGCACAAAGTGATCGGGAGAGAGAGAGAGCGGAAGAGACCGAGAGAGAGAGAGAGAGAGAGAGAGAGAGAGAGAGAGAGAGAGAGAGAGAGAGAGAGAGAGAGAGAGAGAGAGAGAGAGAGAG